TTAAAGACTCCTCAGTTCAAGAATTTTTCCGAATAAATTAGGATCCTTCAATAAAAAATAAATAAATAAAACTCCTAACTGAACCAGATTAAAAACTAAACCGACAATGATTTATGAATGAGTTAAATATGTAGGATGATCTACAGAACTACTTAGCAAAGGCAGTTTAGAGCATTTAAATAGTGTCTGGTTCTTGGGAAAGAAAAATGTAAGGAACACGAGGGTAACTTTAAATTTTTGCACAATGCTGTTCAGTTGGAGTTTGACTAAATGCCTAAAAGCTTTTATCTCCTTGAGCAAACCCTAAACATCCCTACCTTATAACTGCAAACAAACCTTATATCCTACATCTTTTCTACTTCTCCCCTCTCACCGACATGATCAGGTCAGGCAGAGGCCAGATAGTGCCAGAAATGTTGGTGAGGAATAGGCGTGCATGTGCCAAATCAATGGGTTAATCGATATATGTAGAGAGAGGGGTTGGGGGCTTGAAGTAGAGTATTACTTAGAGCCAGAGGCAGATCATTTAGTCATCTTGATTAAAGGCTCTATCTGGTTTGGTGGTTTAGCAATGGAACGACACCAGTTCTGGGTCACTTATAAGATGAGATCCTTTTAATTACTCAGGGTATTTGTGCTTTAGTCAGCCTGGCAGATGTGGGAATACAAGAAGGGTTGAAATATTTAATCTAAGTAGCTTTAAAGATCTGCCCAAGCTTTTAGAGAGGAATCACTACATCAAAGACATGCAACTTTTACTGGAGGCACATCTCTGATTGCTGCTTTGGTGCAGCGAGCCAGAGCTTCAACCTTCACTGGCTTTAGCACAGCTGTCACAAAGCCAAATATACAACAATAAAGTACTGATTAGCTCCATGGGATATGGAACCATGCAAAGATGGGAACTGACAGAAGCTACATGCAAAACTTCAAACACAAACACATCGAATATCTAAAAGTGTCCTTTTAATGTACGATTTTATCAAACTTTTGGGAAATGTTTTCACACTAAAAGTTATCATAAGCTCAGTGATTATACCTTCCTCACACCAACACATTTCCCTTTATGATAGAAAATAAAATTAAAAGCATTACCTTACAGGTAATAAACCTTAACCCATTACAACAGGATTGTCGCTTAAAGAGAACTAATAAAACAAAGCCCCAGAGAATCATACGCTAAACATTGCTCAGTAGATGGGGAAAAAAAAGCAAGGATAATAATAATATCAATAACAATATCTAGCAGCAACTCCGGGAAAACATCAGGGTTAATGCAAGATAATTACTGCTACACACCCCCCATGGGGTAATACCCACGGCGACAGTTGCAGAGGCTGCAGAGTTGGAAGTGCACGAGTACTGGCAGCTCTTCAGTGCAACACATGGGACTTTCATCAAAGCTAACTTCAAAAGCTAACACCCGTGCTTAAACTCATTGGGGGATTTAAGACACAACCTGGACAAGTGCTGACATGCTGAATGTAACCAGTGGGAGTAAGATAAAAGACCAATCTCAGATTAAAAGAAACGATATTGGTAAGGCTTCTTTTTCCTCTTTTAAAATGTATTTTCTTGATTCAAAAAAGACAACAAAAAAGGGCTGCCGTTTGATTGATTGTTCACATATAATAGCTCAATGCAAAACACAAAAATGCAAATGCTTAAAAAAGTAGAGCAAAGCTGTACCCACAACGGACGGGATCAACCACACAGACACAGGATCACTCTTACAAGCACACCTTACCAAATAAAATAAAAAATAATAAGAAGAAAAAGACATCATTGGGGAAAAAAACCCACTTCAAAAGGTAGACCTTCAAGACTTAACGCCAAAGCTGGGTGTAATAATGTGATGCAGATGATGTTATCCCGTCTGGAAGTGTTGCATCAACTGCCAGCTCCTCCAGGGTGGGTGAAGGTGGTGATGAGGAGGGGGGGTTCACATGCACTTCGGCAGGCCCTCTGGGCCACAACAGTGTCTGAGTACTGTGTGCCCGGCATGTAAACGAGGCTGCTCAGCTCTGCCGTGTTTCCAACAACTATTATCCGGCGGATTAATGAATGGGCTCCACTGTTGTTCACTGACTCATCCAGGACTGCGGCAGCGGAGCACCTGACAGCCCCTAATGTATTCAAGCAGAAGAAGTGCAATGTTTTGAAGCATTGTTACCCAGCATTACACACAGTATTTGCAGCAGAGAGTATTTTATCTTCATTTTCCATCACATGTAATGTTTTGAACTGGATTTACACAGGAAATAAAAGGACCTCTTCTGGATAATAAAAATACAATCTAAAAACATTAGGATGAATGATTTTCACATTCAGATTATCAGAAATTCTAAGTACCAGATATGTCCACATTATGATACACCCACCATCTTGTCCTTTGACACACATCATATAATATTTTAAGAGATAGCACTGCAGCAGAACCAAGAGATTGGCTATTTACTTTAAATATAGAGTAGGCATTATCGCAAGGGTTTTTTTTTATGAGCGTCTATAACAAGTTTATAATATATCTTATTCAATATCTCAAATTCTTTAGCAATAAATTAGTTTTTTTGCAGAGAAGGTTAAAGAAAGGAGCTCTTCCGAAAAAACAGATATTTCAACCAAATTAAAACAAACCCCACCTAAGAAATGTCACAATGGTTAATGCATACAATTTAAAAAAAACATATTGTTTGTATTAGAAGGTTACTGTATCTATAATTTGTCACTTATTGTACTCTTTGTTAAACAAACTGTAAATCTGAGTTGCTAACCATGACTCACCAGTGCAACCATATGGTGGTGGAGAAAGGCTTATCAGGTTTTTAAATTATTTTCAGTTATGGGAAATGACTTTAAATTGTCTCTTGTTTCCAATTGCATTAGGCTGTTAACAAAATCATAGACTAAACAGACATAAAAAGTGTTTTAAATATTTCAAACCAATGCATTGTTTATTATTATTCATTTTCTCTTCTTAAGTTGTTTACAACACTTTCACGAATATATAAAGTGTCTTAGTAAAAAAAAATCAACTTTAAAAGTAAAGCATGATAAAGATAAATTAGCATTTACTTGAGCAGATGTTTATAAAGATCTCAAATGATGACTGAATACCTTTAACATCTATCAGTTTGGAAAATGTGTTTTATTATGAAGGGGGATTGTAACTAACCACAGACCTCAATTAAAGTTTTCAACCAACATAAACATGGTAGTAGCTTATTTTTATTTTTCAAACCATTTGAATTTTTGAATGAATTCTGTTGTTAAATAAGACATGGCTTAAAAATATAGATTTGGTAAAACAGAACGGCAAAATTATAATTCTTTTTGCCAACAGCCATCAAAATCTACAACATTTTTAAGAAACCCATATAATGAGTTAGAGCAAACAATTTCCTTTATGGATTAATAAAATATTCTTTACTCCAATTTGAACTACATTACACATCAACATCAAATCCCAGTCCACTTTTAAATATTACTTTTGCATAAAAAGTTTTAGACTATATAAAAATTATCATAAAAGCAACCATTGTATATAAATTCATCTTCTGTCCATGTGGTAATTTGATGAATTATTGAGATTATTAAATTGAACATGATTATATATTCCAATCTAATATGTAATTTTATTTTATTTTATATCATTTACTCTAGATTTTACACTGGACCCTATTTTTATCAATTGTGGTGCTGATATCAGCTTAGACTAATAGCCTATTATAAAATATAAAGAAGATAATTTGCATGTATAACAATCCTAGCTAGGAATCATTATTAGTTGCCCATTGCTGTACAAATTCAATCATATTTGGAACAAAGATGAAAAATATCAAGGGGCAACATTCCAATATGTTGCATACAAAATTACTAAAAGCAAACATCATTTCAATTTTTTTTGTTTACTCAACCTCAACCACACTTTATTTAACAAAATATAAGCAGGTCAAATATCGCAAAGCATATAAATGTAACTTTGAAACACAGCATTTGAAAATGCCAAATGACAAATCATGACAAATCATCATTATTATAATCAGTGGTTCTGTGGCACAGTTAATACCCCACAGTATAGTTGTGATTGCTCCACAATGTAATGACCTAAGCCTTCCAATCCCAATGTGGCTGCACAGCAAAAACTAAGAGGGAAGGGAAACCAGTTGGCTGCACCAAAATAGATCTGATGTATAGTTTTGTATTTTGCAAAGATGGAAAGGGTGGGAAAGTGAGAAAGTTAAGGAGGAGCATAGGGATGTACACACGTCTTGCATCAAGATTGCAACTCACTTTAAAGTGCGCTGCAAAAATGATCTGGAAATAAGTAAAAATGTCTTAAATGAAGAGTATTTATTCTTAATTTGAGTAGATAAATAAGATGATTTGCCAAAGGAATAAGTAATTTTACTCTTAAAATAAGATAATTGAATAATATGCACTTAGGATAAGAAAATGCAATTGTTTTTTTCTTATTTTAAATTTAAATAATCTTGTTCCTTTGGCAAAGTGTCTCAATTACCTCCTCAATTCAATAACAAATACACTTATTTTAAGCAAAAATTACTTTTTAGATTTCAATAATTTGCAGTGTGATAACAGGCTGATCATAACCAAATCGGGTAGTTATTTTGCTTATATTTTCTAAATTTCCGTACACAAACTCAGTTGTAAAATCCCAAGTACAGAAAATATATATTTTCAGTTATCTGAGAGTGAAACTGTATACCTAATGAAATTTTTAGAAGCAAATTGTTAGGAAAATGGAACTTTTGAATGGAAGTTTTGAACAAAGCAATTTAGGTCAAGCTGTAAACAACCAACCCCCATACACCCAAAAATAGACCCCTCCTGGAGTAGCTAAGCTGTGAAAACTGGTTTTAAATCATAAGCCCATGTATAAAAATATGAAAAGGAAAAAAAATAATAATGCAGCCTTGAGGAGGAGTGTGTCAAGTTTCCAAAAATGCAAACTAAATAAATAAAGAAGGCATCTTGCATCAACTTATGATATTTATGTACGTTTCTATGTTCCTCCCATCCCCTCTATTATAGCCTGTGTTGCAGTAAATACAGCCCGTTACAGTTCTTGTATTTGGACAGGATTAAGATGGCTTTACAAAAGCTCACAATATGATGGAAGTGAATCACAGCCAGAAGCTATTATGTGTGGAGGAATACTTTTTTTTTTTTTTATCACATAAGAAAAAAAAGCACCCTATCCTAATGTATGTTTTTCTAGCTGTTTACATATATCCAATGAATAATTAGAATCACTTCTTTGCACAGTTATTGAAAAAATATGATGGTACAAACCCCCCTCCCCAAAATTTTAGATTTTGTTATATTTTGTTCCTTTCACCCAAAAGCAGGCTATGTTCGTTGACACACACACACACAAAAAAGAACCACATAACTGTTATTGGAGCTACATGAACTTTTGCAGCATAAGCATCTGAGTGACGTTAGCTGGTCGTGCTCATCTGCATGTCTGAATATCTTCAACAATTGGCACACTGTTTAAAAAAAGAACAGCATTTTTTTTTTAGTCTTCTTCATGTTTTTTTTACATTCATAAAAGAAGATGATCACCCTGTGAAAAGTCAAAAGTGCCATAAAGTAATAAATACATAAATCATTAAAACATTCATATGGCCTAAATTATTAACCAAAGAAATGTAATTAAAATATTTAATAAATACATAAGGATATCAGGAGTTTTAAGTTTTGCAAATAAATCGGTAAAAGTTAAAAAGAGAAATTGAATTTGATGTTTAAACTGTAAAATGTATAATTTTTTAAATAGACCTAATAATTTCAAGATTCATTTTTTTGTATGCGATTGTACACAGTTAAACACTGAAAAATGAATTTAATGAATTATCTATTTAGGTAATTGTGGCACTTTTGGACTTCCATACCCTCAGACCTGGGGAGATTTTATTCTGCAACCACCTGGCATAGCAGACCCAAAGTTGCATTACATTTAACATACAATTAAAGAATGATTTTAAGTCCTATGGTGACCATATATTTGTCTTATGTTTAAAGCAATTAAACAAAATGAAATCAAAAATATTTTACATTTATATTTGGAAACATAATCTAAAAAATTTATCAAACTTGTTTTCTTAATTTTTATGTTTTAAATGTAAACCTGAAGAATACGGTGAACAGCAACAATAACAAAATGGTGGTCTATTTTTTTTTTCCCGCTGCCCTAGAGGACCTAGCTACTGTGCAAATGCTTTGGACCCGCTTTGCCACCTAGTATACAGAATAAATAACCCCAAATATTAACCAATGATGAGCTGATTAATAAAATAAATGGTAACACTTAAAAAGAACATGCACTGACAGCTTCACTTTGATCACCCAACTCCTTCACCAGTTAACATTATTCTTCTCATTTCTCAACTCTGAACAAGTTTTAAAACAACAAATACAAATCCTAACTGCAGGTTCACAAAAAATAGAGAAATGGCACTTTGTAATAGTCATATAATTCTTAATATCTATATATATAGCTGTTGTGGTGGTATATAACATGAGAGGGGAGGGGACTGAGTTTGCCTCCTGGTTGGTGGTTATGGTTCCTCGCCTGTTGTGTGTCTTGTTGAAACCATGCGGAAATATCATCATGCATTTTTATGATACATCAGTCTGAGTATTTACATGTACATTCATGCGTTCGTGCACCATTCCCCAGGTCGTTCCTTTCTCTTTTTCACATACATACACATACACTCTCCCTGGCTCCCTTTTCTCCACTCTCAATCTATTTTTCTCCCATCTACAGATTTGTAGTCTGATTGCGGCAGAGAAGAGGAGGAGGAGAAAAGAGCTGAGGGTGTAAGCCAGAGGGGCTTGGCATATACATATATTACAGAGTGGGGCCTTCTGCAGCTTCCAGGCTGACCTATAGGTTCATTAACAAATTTATGTTCCCATTCTTTAATGAATTCTTGTAGTTTTTGTCTACTGTTTATAATCCAGTCTGTGTTTTTTATGCATCGTCCACAGCTGAGAGGTGTGTGCTGCAGTCGAAGCCCCGATGAGCACCTCCGTCTGCATGATATGGCCCACTGTGCCAGTAGGACGAGTCGCACACCGTCTGTAAGGAGTTGATCTCTGATGCGGATGAGTTGCCGTCTCGCCGCTTCGACCGTTTCCGGTTGCGCAGGATGAACACAAGCATCCCCACAACTGTGAAGGCGGATGTGACAAACACGAGCAGCAGCCCAGGCACAAGCACTGATATTGAGACCCGGTTGGGCTCTAAATATGAGTTTGAGCGTGTTCCACCTGAGTCCTGGGCATAAGTCCCATTCTTGGACACTGGTGTGGGCACGGCCCGATCAAACAGCTTGGGGCACATGAGGTCATTACGCACGTAACGGAAGTCCCGTTTCCAGAACTCCTCTGGTGCTTCACACTTGAGGTCACTCACAATTACGTCGGCTCCAAGCTTCTCGGTCCAACGCTTGAAGGGCACAATGTTGCATGAGCAATCCCATGGGTTCCCATGAAGGTCTATCTGGATGATGGAGTTGAGCTGCTCCAAGACACCGGTCACAGGGAGATAGGTAAAGTAATTATTATGTAGACTGATTTTTGACAAAGAAATCCCAACAAAAGCATCCACAGGGAGAGCCTTAAGAAGGTTGTTGTTTAGGAACAGAACTCTCAGGTTCGGCATCGGGCTGAATGCACCTGCCACTATCAGCTGGATATCGTTGTATTCCAAACTAAGGTATTCCAGATTTACAAGGCCCACAAACATCTCTGCCATTAGTGTATCCAGGTAGTTCTTATCCATGTACAGCCACCGGAGCTCACTCTGGTTCTGGAATGTGCCATTGTCAACAACCTTGATGTTGTTCCCACCGAGATCCAGCAGATTGAGGCTGGAATAGCCGAGAAGCTGGTTCTTCTTAACTGCATGAATGTTGTTGTCTCTCATGTTAAGCTCGTGGGCAGCCAGAGGCTTTGGCTTGAGGGAAGCCAGACTCTCAATCTTTTTGCCCTCGCAATTGACTGCCAGTCCCTTTCTAACGCCCACCAGCTTGCAGCTGCATGGCTGTGGGCACGTGATATTGCGCAGCTGCTCTTCTCCGCCGTCTCCATTCCCATCTGCTGCTGCCATTACCGGTGTGGGCTTTGTTTTCAGCTGCCAACTCTCTGGGGACTTGGAGTTACTCTTGGAACCATTGACTCCGGGTGTAGGGGGCCCTCCACCAGGATTTCTGGGGGGCTTGTAAGGTGTGGGGTGGGAGGTTTCCTCCTGTGTGGGAGGGGCAGGGAGGCTACTATCTCCACCCTCACTTTGTGATGGGCACAAATCTGCTTCTGAGGTCTCATTCAGGTCACTGCCCTGCAGCCTGGTGGGGGCCTCACAGACCACCCTCCCAATGAGGGCATTGCGTGGTATGTTCTCCAGCCACTCCTTTAGGGACACTAGCTCACAGTTACAGTCCCATGGGTTGTCCTCAAGCAGCACCTCTGCAATACCAGGAATTTGCTCAAGAATCCCCTCATAAGGCAATGTTTTGATCCGATTACCCCGCAGATCAAGATGCGTTATGGGCACGTGCTGGAACACGTTTATAGGTAGTGCGCTGATGAGGTTATCATTCAGTATCAAAACTTCCAGTTTATTCAGGTCCCTGAAAACAGCTGGATCAATGTCCCTTAGCAAATTAAAATCCGCCTGAAGGTATTCCAAGTCATCCAAGCCCAAAAAGGTGCTTTTCTTGAATGATCGGATTTTGTTGTTGCTGATGTGCAGCCTCTTGACCAGCTGCAGCCCCAGAAACGCGCCTGGCACAATGTCATGCAGGCCGTTACTCTCCAGGTGCAGGCTCACGGCATTGTAGAAGTTGGCGAACTCGTTGGGGAAGAGCCTGGACAACGAGTTACCGTGCAGCAGCAGGTGGTAGAAGTGGGAGCTGGGGCCGGTCAGGTGCCGCAGCGTGTTTAAGCCGCGCTTCTCGCAGTCAACATGCAGGTCGCCCTCCACCTCACTGCAGGAGCAGATCTTCTCCTTGCAAACCTCCCTGGTGACATTTCCGCTTGCAACGCAGAGAGCCGCATTTAGCAGGATGATCCACAGCAGCATTTTCCCCCCCTTTTGTGTTTTTTTTTTTTTCCCCTTATCAGCGCGGACGATTCATTCCCGCCTCTCAAGACATGTAGGAGCTGCTGATCTAGTCTGCATCAGCGAGAGGTGGTGGTGGAGGAGGGGGGGATGGAGCTGTAGACATTTAGGAGGAAAAGGAGCGCATCCAGACTGCGTCCAGACGTCCAGTTTCACTTTAGGATAAAAAAATAAAAACAAACGTCTCCCTTCACTTCCAGCAATTGGTCTGATGGAAAGCATCAGCGGGGCAATGCACCAGGTTCCAGCGCATCTTTACTCTATTTGCTTATTTATTTATGTATCTCAGCTTCTTTCACACTGACCTTGGCGCGTTGATGGAAAACCGAAGAAATCTCCCGGAGTCGTGCGGCGCGCTGCGGCGTCGGGATCTGTCCTCCCCCCCCCCCCCTTCTCTTCCCCGCTCTCTCCTCCCCTCTAGTGCTGAATTCACAGCCTGCGCAGCTGATCCTGAACACCCGCATCCCCTTCTTTCACATCCCCTTTACTTCGCGACGTCTCGCTCTGTTTTCCTTCTCTTTCTTGTGTTTGTTATCCTTTTTTGTCGTCACAGTAAGAGGAGCGCGGACGCAGCGCGCATCCCCACTGCGCGCTGGTCTGAGGAAGATCTGACACCCTCCGCTGAGCTGTGGTTGAAAAAATCCCGACTGAAGCAAAGGAGGTTGGGGTGGGGGCAATCCGGTTAAATACAAAAAAGGGACACTCTTTACTGTTGACGTTTAAATCTTCTTATTTAAAGTCCCCTGCTTAATTGTATTTAGTCCTCATCGTCCAAAGCGCTGCTGGGTAGTGTGTTTTATTGCCAAAAAAAAGCACCGATGCCTCTTTTTCCTCTTTCTTTTTTAATTTCTAATTTACTTCCATGGCTCTAACTCTGGAAAAACAGTCTGTTGAATGCGGTAAAGCAAACCGTCCGCTATAGGCATGCCTTACACCAGCTGAGAGAGAGAGAGAGAGAGAGAAAGAAAACAAAAGATGCGTCAGTGGCTCCCTGTATGCGCATGTGTGCGTGACGTTTTTTTTTTTTTTTTTTTGTACTTTTACTCTCTCCCAGATATAAAAAAAAATCACCTCTCTTCTTTTTCTTTCATTTTATTTTGAAAAATTGAAGGTAAAAAAAAACTGCACTGAAAGGAAGGAGGGGGGGCATTGAAACAACCTCCCATCGCCTATAGATCTGCATTATACTCCTCCGTTTGAGATTATTACATCAGTAGGAAAGAGAGAGACAGGGTGGGGGGTATAGTTATCCTCTTTGCTCCATCCCCCCCCCCCCATCATCCATCTGCAGTGCTCAGTCAGAACTGTGACTGTGACGCCTAATAAGATCCAGACGTGTCAGGGGATCCTGTAAGCAAATGCAACATCAGGCCCACCCAAACAGCTTATCAGAACTGCTCACACGCATTAAACCCTTCACACATTTCATCACCTTACAGCCACAAACTTCACTGAGTTTTAGTAGTGTTTTTAATCTGCATCTGAAAGCGTTGTTTTGCATTCAAATAAACGTTTTTGCTGCTATAACGCCATGTAGCCTAGTCTCTAACTAATCAAGGATGTAACTTTGTGATAAAAGTTGGTGGGGACGCTCTAAGGATAGTGGCTGATGGATCAACAGCTACTCCACCCGGACGCTTTCAATAGGGCTTATACTTTCCAAAAATGAGCTCATACATATATTTATTGAATGCTTTCCTATTGTTGAGAACACAAGAGAACCACAGTACACTGATATTTATAGTTATAGACAGATGCCCGCCTTTAGTGCCTTAATTATAAACGGCTCAAAAACATTAATGTATAAAAAATGACGAATAACAGCAGATACAGATGCCAACAGCAATATATCATGCATCCCTAGTATGGACACAACTTCAATTCCATCCATCCATCCATGCATGGCTTCACTTTAAGCTGCATCAGTGATTATCCTCCTTCACAAGCAGGAAAATCAAATTTAGAAATCTGTCCCATATGTCATTGACTGCCAAAGTCTATGTATTAAACCTTATATTTCAAAAATCCTTTATGCACTGATTTTTATTATTTTTGCTTTAATTCTTGCAGGTTTTTTATATTTAAATTTTTAGTCTGTGTCCTGTGAGTCTGGCTGTCTCTGGGTTGCTGGCGCAGCTATATCTGAGTATTGTTGATCTACAAAAGATATGTTGAATTTTATTATAGCATAGCATAACTTTTCTTGTTGTAATCTTGGAGATATGTGTTATCGGTGTCACATATCCCTGTAAATCTGTTTTGCCTTTAAATCTGCAGCTGTCCCTAATTGTCTGCTCTGCTTAAAAACAGATTTATGAACCTGTCTAGCAATATAATGATGCCAGAGAAAATCATTTTCAAGAAATCTAGAAGCTCTGCAGTCTGATTCTCTATTCAATAAGAAAACAACAAATATGTGTTAATTTTCATCTTTAACTCTGAATAATGGTCCTCTGAGAAGCCCAGCTTTTTAAACGTATATAAATGTACACTCTGTTGCCATTTTCAGCTGATAAAGCTCCGTATGTGTAGCGAACACATTTTTTCGGTGGCATTTAAACATTTTTTAACCAACCGGTCTCCTAATTTTTACTGAAACATATACTAAAGTAGCTGCCATATGAAAAGCGGAAATTATCGGTGGGGACTGTCTCCTCCATACCAAAGTTGCCCCACTACGTAGACAGTTTTCTTTTGCAGTCACAAGCTTTAAACAGATCCTTTCATTTTTTCATCTGCACTGTAATATGCTGATGGTGTTCATACTTGGTGTCTTGGTCTCATCTTACCAGACCACCTATATCCCCCGGCATGTCTTAACCCCTCATTTGGCTAACCTCAAATGGGTCTTCTTACAACTTTTTTTTTTGTTTAACCCAGCAGCGATTTTCTCCAGGTTACTTTTCCATTAAGGACACATTTTTACTGCACATAACTAGCTGTTAACTTTTCTATTTTTTCACTTGAGCTACAGATCTCAGTAGGTTCTTTATTACTAATCTCTTTTACTGCTTTTATGATCAATCCTCCCCTCGTTCACCCTTGGAAGTCGGATTAACAAGTCCTACTTGAGCTTTCATTGGTTTGATATTTTAATTTTTCTTTTACCGCACCCTGTTTTAAAGCTCATCACAACTTTGTTTTGACCCGTCCTGGATTTTCCTTGTTTTTCATGAAAAAGCAAACAAGCAAAGAAAACTTCTGGTACTTACAGAAAATCTGGTGTTATACTTAGATTCAATACCTAAAAGTAGTCTATTAAGTAATTATGTGAATTCTGTAAGCATTTCTTACACAGTTTTATTTCTTATTTTTGTATGATTATCTTTAAAATAATTACTTTATGAAATACATATTTTCTTTTCTCATTATCTTTGATGTATTACATTAAATCAAAACTAGGGCTACAACTAATGATTACTTTGCAAATCAATTAATCTGTCAATTATTTTTTAATTAATCAATTATTAATTGGATAGCCAAAGGTTCCTTAAAAAAGACTTTTTGCTAAATTAAACCAGTTGAAAATAAAACTTTTCCACTTCAGAAAAAGTTTCTGGATTGATACGATTGTGGATAGATAATATGGACAGACGAAAATAATTTTTGTCTTAAATGCAAAATCTTTACATATTTTTCTTTTTTTTTTTTTTCGGTATAATTGCTCCTCAAGGTAGGTTCTGTAAGCTAAATGTATGCTCCAGTTAACAATTGATCACTAAATTTATTGACAATTATTTCAACAATCGACTAATCATGATTAATCTGATTATTTTTTTCAGCCCTAATCAAAACAAAATACAATTTGTGACATTAATGGTTGTGATGTAATAAAATGTGAGGAAGTTTGACAACAGGTGTGAGCCAAAGCTACATAAATTATTTTTGTGGAGTTTCTGACTTTTCCCCTTCATGATGTTTTTCTACCATTAATTTGAAGTCCTCCTGTAATACAAAGACATGCATGATGGGTTAATGGATGCTCTTAGATCCCATTAGGCATCTCTCAGCCTTGTGAGAGACCAGTGACCTCTAGAGCGTGCACCCCGACATACTGACTTATCCTCTGGTTGAAGTGATGCTGCTGAAACCTCTGAATTACTTGGTCAGTGATTCAGACATACAGTATATGTAGCTTCTAAGGCAAAAAGCCAAAAAAGCTTCAGGGTTTTCTATTATTGCATTTATGTATGTTTTCATCCAATTGAACAAGGATTTACTCTTCCATTTAAAATGCCTGCTGTGAGGTAGATTAAGGTAGGATGTGTTTGAGTAAAATGCTAAATAGTTGGTTATTGGTGAAAATGTGGGAATGCATAAAGCGAATAAAAGTGCTTATACTGTATCAGGCAGTGGTAGGGAGATATGGTCAAACGAAAGACTACTTTATAAGATTATCATTACCAGATAGCTGAATGGTGGACAAATGTTATGGACATTCATGGTGGTTTGTGCAACTTTCGGTCAGCCTCCTGCAATCACATTCCTGCTAGCTTTGTATTAGAGCTGCAGCATGCATGCTTTCCTATGCAGCAGGTGGGGGGGGGACCAATGGTACACACACAATGCTTAGTCATGCTTGAGCATCTTGTTCCCACCAAAGAAAATTAACAAAAACAATTCTGACTCCACATAAGCTTAGCTCAGTCCTTGTAGGCCGGGCATTTAGACTCTAAAGTAATCCTCCAAACAGGATAAATCACATTTGTATGGTGGAAGGGGTGAGGGGGTGGGGGGGACACTTATCTTGGAGTCAAAGCTAATTGGATTATGTATCTAAATGTATCCAAAAGAAAAATTCCATGGAGCTCAGTGGGATGATAGCATGCAGATACTGTCAAGCTGAATTTGTGTGGTGTAGGACAAGATAGGTTCATACGCATGCATGCACAATTGCAGCCAACTGTGCAGCTTTTGTCCATGCAAGGTTCTAGTGTCTCATACACAAAATATTGTATTTAAGCATAGTGAATCAGTTGGAAACTGTAAAGCTAGCAGGTTTGACAAAGCAGAAAATATGGTAGCTTAAAATGATATTCAGCTCATTAATTACACTTTTACTTTTGTGTGCTCCAACTGAGAAAGTCAATAAATTGCTATTTCCCCCCTGATTTCATGTCAAAGAATCTATTAGCATTTCTTTGGCAAAAAACAAAGCCCCACACTGCTGTGCCGGGTGATAGATAAATCAATTACTTGACTTTCCAGTATTTTTTACCTGGCTGTGGTCCCAATCAAAGATGGGTAGTAACAAGTTAAATTTTCTTATTTACATTAAAGCTACAGTGTGTAATAATTACAGGGATATACAGTCAGAAATGTAATATATTATACATAACTATGTTATTTATCATCATCTACGAGCTCAGCCTCTTAACCTTAATATTTGCGTTGCCTTAGAATTCGTTATTTATAATTACATAGGAGCGGGTCTCGCAGCCATGGAGGCAGACATCTTTGCGCTACGGCAGCGCAGAGCCAACAAACTAGCGATTGCGAGATCGCCCATTACGCTCAAAAGTAACTACGGCAAGTTGAGAGAGATGAACTGAGACGGTACTGAACAATAGATGGCAGTATTAAAATTATCTATGTAAACAAACCTCATCACTTGAGAAGGTAGGTGATGCGGACGTCGTGGAAGACATTTTGTCCCGTAACGCTCGCCGTACTGTTGGGGGGGAGAAGCGGTGGGGGGGGGAGATGTTCATGTTGCTGCGGTCTGCAGTCTGGACGCTAGATGTCGCTGAAAATTACACACTGTAGCTTTAACTTGAGTGACTTTTTAACAAAAATATACCTTTGGAACTATTTTCACTGTAGCTTACATGTACTTTACTTTAATCAACACTGTGCCAGGTTTGACCTAAGCATACGATTAATTTAAGATATATTAAATGATCTTTAGGGTCAAGATTCAGCACTTAGTGCTTTCTCAAAAACAGATTCCT